CAGCAGCAACAGCAGCAGCAGCAGCATAGAGCAGCAGCAAGGAGCACAAGTAATGTGACTATTACAATCCCTCAGCTTCTGCAAAGCAGCAGCAGCAGCAGCAGCAGCAGCAAACGGTGCAGCAGCGCAGCAAATGCTGCAGCAAGCTATTCACAGTTAACTTGCTTCCACAGCGTCGTAAAGGAGGGAGAAGCGGCAACAGCAGCAGCAGCAGCCGAAGCAGCAGCAGCAGCAGCAGCAGCAGCAGCAGCAGCAACACGACGCACTGAAGATACTTCCCTCAGTGAGTTTAGAATCGCGACTGTTAGCGATGCAGCAGACAATAACGACAGCAGCAGCAGCAGCAGCAGTAGCAGCAGCAGCAGCAGCAGTAGCAGCAGCAGCAGTAGCAACTACCCAACTGGCCCTTCTGCAGTACAGAAGCCCGTGCTGCAGCAGCAGGAGCAGCCGCAGAAGGACAAGCTTCAAGAATTGCAGCAGCAGCAGCAACAACAGCAGCAGCAGCAGAAGCAGACGCTGATGCAGCAGCAGTTCTATGCCCCATTCAAGCATACGTACCTAAGACGGCAACGCAATCAGCAGCAGCAGCAGCAGCAGCAGCAGCGGCAGCAAAGCTTCACAAAGCTTCTTTACCTGCCGGAGCGGCAGCAGCAGCAGCAGAAGCTGGATGCGAATAAGCAACAGCAGAAGCAGCAGCAGCAGAAGCAGCAGCAGCAGTATTACGTGCTGCCTAGTGTACAATCCATTCGGGTGTATAGACAGCAACACTTGTCTGCTGCTCCTAGCAGCAGCAGCAGCAGCAGCATATCGCAGCCCTTGCTGCTGCATCCGGATCTGCACGCAATGCATGCGCAAGGCAGCAGCAGCAGCAGCAGATGCAGCAGCCCCTGCTGCAGAGAAAGCAGTTGCTGCGGCCTGCTGCAGGCAGGTGCATGCAAGGGCCCAACAGCAGCAGCAGCAACAGCAGCAACAGCAGCAACATACACCCCAACATATGAGCTATGGAAGCAACCTATGAATGGTTACCCTGTTGTGCCTTATCCGTCACAATTAGCAGCAGCAACAGCAGCAGCAACAGCAGCAGCAGCAGCAGCAGCAGCAGCAGGCGGTGCTGCTGCCTTTGAAGGTACACGGCCAGCATACCGAGTAAGAAGTTGTGTAGATATTAGACGTAAAGTTGCATGCAACTGCTGAGATGCAGCAGCAGCAGCAACAACAACACCAGCAGCAGCAGCTGCAGCTAGTGCAGCAGCAGCAGCAGCAGCAGCAGCAATGACAAAGTAGTCAATATTGTAGGCGTCTGCTCCCGCCATAAGGCGAGTGCATAGGCACATCATAGCAGCAGCAGCAACAGCAACAACAGCAGCAGCAACAATAATTAGTAGCAGCAACAGCAGCTGCTGCACAGATAGCAGCAGCAGCAGCAGAAGATAGCAGCAGCAGCAGACACAGCAGCAGCAGCAGAAGCAGTCCGTGACCTGCATCTGCTTGTTTTGTTCTCTTTTGTGTCTGTTAACCTTTTATAACTTTATTTATTTAATATAAATAAATAAATAAATTAATTAATTAATTAATTAATTAATTAACTAAATTGTCTCCTTTGCCTGTCTCCTCGTATGTCTTGCTGCTGTCTACCTTTTTATCAGTACCAGCAGCAGCAACAGCAGCAAAAGCAGCAGCAACAGTAACACTAACAACAACAGCAGCAACAGCAGCAGAAGCAGTAACACTAACAGCAACAGTAGCAGCAACAGCAGCAGAAGCAGAAGCAGCAGCAGAAGCAGCAGCAGGTGCAGGCGCAGGAGCAGCATGATCAACAGCAAACAGCAGCAGCAGGCAGCAGCAGCAGCTGGTGCTGCTGCTGAGCTGCTGCTGCTGCTGCTGCTGCAGTTGACTCGAATACATTAAAGAGGACGCGGATGACAGACACCAAACTGTTTGAATAAATGGGGTAAATCTGCAGCGGCAGCTGCTGCTGCTGCATGCGCTGCTGCTGCTGCTGCTGCTGCTGCTGCTGCTGTTGTTGCTGTTGCATTTGCAGCAGCAGCAGCACACTCATCACCGACGCTGCTGCTGTGCATGCAGCAAAACGGGTATACAAGTGACAGCAAAGGAGACCTGTTGCTCCTAAGAGAAAACCCCTCCATAGAAATATATTTGACGGTTCCTGCTGCTGCTGCTGCTGCAGCAGCAGCAGCAGCAAGTGCTGCAGCAGTAGCATGTATGCTGCATCAGCCGCGACAACTGCAGCAAGTGCAGCAACTGCTGCAGCAACAGCAGCAACAGCTGCTGCAACTGCTAAAATAACTTTACGTATTAACAACACCAACAGCACCAGATCGGACACGTTGCTGCTGCTGCTGCTGCTGCTGCAGTCGTGGATGTAGGGATGCGGATGGTCCTGTTAGTTGCTGTTGCTGTTGTTGTTGTTGTTGTTGCTGCTGCTGCTGCTGCTGCAGCGTCCTCAGCAACTCAACAGGTAAGGCCTCCTGCCCCTCTAAGAAACGACGCAGCCATGTCTCTGCTGCTTCCTTACCATTCTGTACAGCTACATGCAAATATATCTGCAGCACAAAAAAAAAACAGCAGCAGCAGCAGCAGCAGGTCCAACAACAACAGCAGCAGCAGCAGCAGCAACCTAATACCTAATATAATACCAGCAATAAACTAACACAATAAACAGCAAACCAATCCCCATAACCACCACCATAACCATAAGCAGCATTAACAGCAGCAGCAGCAACAAAAACAACAACAAGAGCAGCAACAAAGAAAAAAAGAAGAAAAAAAGAAAAGTATCTAACCTGTGCAACAGCAGCAGCTTTATGACCATAATAATTAACAAAGAAAACATTTTTGTCTTCTTTTTCCATCAAATGTATAAACAAGAACAACAGCAGCAACAACAGCAGCAACAACAGCAGCAGCTACAGCAGCAGCTAACCTGTGCAACAGCAGCAGCTTTATGACCATAATAATTACAATGAAAACATTTTTGTCTTCTTTTTCCATCAAATGTATAAACAACAACAGCAACAGCAGCAGCAACAACAGCAGCAACAACAGCAGCAGCAGCAGCAGCAGCAGCAATCAATATAGTATATCTAACCTGTGCAACAGCAGCAGCTTTATGACCATAATAATTACAATGAAAACATTTCTGTCTTCTTTTTCCATTAAATGTATAAACAACAACAGCAACAGCAGCAACAGCAGCAGCAGCAGCAGCAGCAGCAGCAATATAATAAAAAAAAAAGTATCTACTAACCTGTGCAACAGCAGCAGCTTTATGACCATAATAATTACAATGAAAACATTTCTGTCTTCTTTTTCCATCAAATGTATAAAAGTCTGCAACCCATCTCCCTCTATCTTTTTCATACCGAACTATACTACTACGTCCACGTTGTGTGCTGCTGCTGCTGCTGCTGCTGCTGCTGCTGCTGCTGCTGCTATTGCTGCTGCTGGTAGTGGTAGGGGGAGGGAGAGGGGGAGGGATTGTTGTATTTGTCAAGGTTGTTGTTGTTGTTGGATTGTCTAAGAGAAGAAGATTACTATTGCTGCTGTTGGGATAATCAAGATGATGCTGCAGGGAGAGAGATGCAGCAGCAACATCTAATGTATTTGTTGTTGTTGCTGCTGCTGCTGCTGTTGTTGTTGTTGCTGCTGATGATGATGATGATGATTGTGCTGCAGCTGCTGCTCCTCCTCCTCCTCCTCCTGCTGCTTCGTCACTACAGCTGCCACTATCTGCAGCAGATGCATCTGATGTACGACGACGTCGTAAGACTGGCAATAAACCTTCTGCTGCTGCTCTCCTACGACCTCTGCTGCTACTGCTGCTGCTGCTGCTGCTGCTGCTGCTGTTGTTGTTGTTACTCGATACATCCCCAGATGCCTCGCCATCCAGAAGCACTGCTGCTGCTGCGGCGGCGGCGGCGGCTGCTGCTGCTGCTGCTTGCTGCTGCTGCTGCTGCTGCTCTGTCTTCAGTTGCTGCATTACAGAAGATGCGCCAACACCAGCTGCGGATCCTGCTGCTCCTGCTGCTGCTGCAGCAGCAGCAGCAGGAGCCTGCTTCCTTTTGGTCCCCCTAGTATTATATACACCTCTATGAAGACCGCTGCTGCTGCTGTTGCTGCTGCTGCCGTTGCCGTTGCCGTTACTGCTGCTGCTGCTACTGCCCAGAGGATCCTCATCCCCTAAGCTGCTGCAGGTGCTAGCGGGTGTTTCTGAATCACCAGGTAGACCGCTACACTTCTCCGTTGCTGTTGCTGCTGTTGCTGCTGTTGCTGCTGCTGCAGCACGCCCTGGGCTGGCTGATGTGCTGCCTCTCTGACTGTTCTGTTCAAGGTGCTGCTTCTGACGCAGCAGCTGCTGCTGCAGCTGCTGCAGCGCCTGTTGCTGCAGCAGCTGCTGCTGTAACTGCCGCTGCAGCAAGGTTGTATGCAGCTGATGCTTCTGTGAAGATGCTGCTCCCTGCTGCTGCTGCTGCTGCTGCTGCTGCTGCAGTGCGGCTGACAATGGGGACTGTTGCTGATGTTGCTGTTGGAGTAGAAGCTGCTGTTGCAACTGTTGCTGCAGCTGTTGCTGCAGCAACAGCTGGTGTTGCTGTTGCTGCTGCAGTGAAGAGTGTTGCTGCCCTCCAGCAGCAGCAGCAGCAGCTGCTGCTGCTGCTGCAGTCGGTTGTTGGGAGTTACTAGGCGGTTCATTTTGCGTGTGAGTTTGCTGCTGCGCTTGTATCTGCTGCAGCAACGCCTGTTGCTGTTGCTGTTGCTGTTGTTGCTGCTGCTCCTTCCTGCTGCTGCCTCCGCCGCTGCCGCTGCCGCTGCTGCTGCTGCTGCTACTGCTGCTGTTGCTGTTGCATGCAGTCTGCTGCTGCTCTCTTAATGTTACCTCCCTAAACCAATGCTCTGCTGCCTCCCTACCATGGAGGACTGCCCTCTGTAAGAACATATGAGCAACAATAGGTGTAGGTACAGAGCAGTAGGCCCTGCATGCAAATGTTTTTTGCTGCCGCTGCTGCTGCTGCTGCTGGTTGCTGCTGCTGCTGCTACTACTACTACTGTTGTTACTGTTTATACTGTTGCTGCTGTTACTGTTCGTGCTTATTATGCTGCTGCTGCCGCCAAGAAGGGAACCACTGACACCGGATGAACATGAACCTGTGTCGTCTTGCTGCTGCTGCTGCTGCTGCTGCTCGTTCTGCTGCTGCTGTCGAGGGGCCCACCAATCTAGTACCCATCTGCAGCGGCTGCTGCTCCAGTATAGACGACCTCTTGCTGACTCTAAGAGAGCTGCAGGGGGGGCCCCCAGCAGCCCATCAGGGAGAGCAGCAGCAGCAGCAAGAGACTCTGCTGCTGCTGCTGCTGCTGCTGCTGTTGTCGGTGATGATACACCAGCTGCTGCACTGCTGCTTAATGGTCTTGCTGCTGACTGCGGCTGACCCCAATCAACGCTGTAGCTGCTGCTGCTGCTGTTGCTGCTCTGGCCTTCATACTTATGTCCCTCTTGCTGCTGCTGCTGCTGCTGCCGTAGCTGCAGCTGCAGCTGCTGCTGCAGCAACTCAGACACACGGGAGGCACTGCCAGGCCCATAGGATGGGAAGGCAGACACGGAAGGACCTGCTGCTGCTGTTGCTGCACCACCAGCAGCAGCACTGCTTCTTTCTGACGCCTCCTGCTGCTGCTGCTGCTCTTCCTCGTCCTGTAGAGGTTCCTTTTGCTGCTGCAGCTGAACAAGAACGCGTTGCTGCTGCTGCAGCAGCAAAAGCTGCTGCTGCAGCTGCTCCCTGAGAGCATGCAGAGCCTCCTCACCCTTGCCGCTGTCAGCAGCAGCAACACCAGGCTGCTGCTGCTGACCATGGGTAAGCAGCTGCTGCAACAGCAGCAAGTGCTGCTGCAGCAGCTGCTGCAGGCCTGATACTGCAGCAGCAATGCTGGACGAGGGAGCCCCTGTCGCATTGGCTCGCTCCTGCTGCTGCTGCTGCTGCTGCTGCAGTAGAGTTACTGCAGCGGCAGCAGCAGCAGCAGGAGCTGCTGCTTCCGCTGCATCGTCAACTTCCGCCTCTTTCTTTGCTGCAGCAGAACAAGAAGGATCATGACCACAAGCATCAGCTGCAGCAGCAGCTGCTGCTGCTGTTGCTTCTGCTATGGGGGACAGCTGCCCGTCATATGCTGCTGCTGCATTTGCTGCTGCTGCTGCTGCTGCAGCAGCAGCGTCTGCTTCTGGTACTCCTCTCCTACCCTCTTGCCCACTTACAATGTGCTGCTGCTGCTGCAGCAGCCGCAAAGTCTCTGTGTGGTGCTTGAGCTGCTGCAGCAGCTGCTGCTGCAATGCGAGTGCATGCTGGGGATCATCGTCCTGCTGCTCCTGCTGCTGCTGCTCCTGCTGCTCCTGCTGCTGCAAATATGAATCCTCACCAGCAGCAGGCAACGGCAACGACAACAAAGATGCCAATGAAGCAGCGCTGCTGCTGCTGCTGCTGCTGCTGCTCGTGTTCCTGTTGCTGCTGCTGCCGCTGCTGCTGCGCACTGCGGAGGTGCCTCGCTGAGAAGGTAGTGCAGCAATAGCAGAAGCAGCAAGCTGCTCTGCTGCTGCTGCTTCTGCTGCTGCATCTGGCAGCGGCGTTCTATGCAGTGCTGCTGCCTTTGCCTCGTTAAGGAGCGGTTCGCCATCAGCAGCAGCAGCAACAGCTGCTGCTGCTGCTGCTGCACTGTCTACTGCAGCATCGTCTGCTGTTGGGCTTTGCTGCTGCGGCGATGCTGCAACGGCAGCAGCAGGATCCTGCTGCAGCTGGCAGCAAGAAGAAGGCCCGTCACACTCCATCTGGTCCACCTCGCTAGCTGCTGCTTCCCCCGCTGCTGCTGCTGCTGCTGCTGCTGCTGCTGCGTCTGCTTCTGTTGCTTCTGTTGCTGCAGCGTCGGTGTCACTGCGGCTGCTGCTGTCTGCGCTAAGAGACAGAGGGCTGCTGCGTGGATTCTCTGCTGCGTCTGCTGCTGCTGCTGCTGCTGCTTCTGCTCCTGCTGATGTTGGGGAAGCAGGTGCTGCTGCTGGACTGCAACACTTTGCTGCTGCTGCTGCTGCTGCAGCATCTGCTGCTACACGTGCGCAGTCGCCTGATAAGAGCATCTTGCAAGTAAAGGCTGACTTGCTGTCTGCTGCTGCTGCTGCTGTTGCTGCTGCTGCTGCTGCTGTGGTACAGACAGTGCGGCTGCCGCAAACTCGCGGGCACCGAATACACGACATGCTGCAGTGTTCCCCCGCTGCTGCTTCTGCTGCAGCTGCAGCAGCAGCAGCTGCTACTGCAGCTGCTGCAGCTGCTGCTGCTGGTTCTGTTGCAGCTTCTGCAGCAGCTGCTGCTGCTTTACTTGCTGCTGACGGCAGTAATGAGGGTATTACTGCAGCAGCAGCAGACACAGGAAGCTGTAATAGATGTGCTGCTGCTACTGCTGCTGCTACGAGTGTTACTGCCAGTGCTGCTGCTGCTGCTTCCGCTGCTGCAGCCGACTGACTTGTGTCTGCAGCAATGGTAGCAGCGGCAGGAGCAGCAGCAGCAGCAGAAGCACTAGCCTATAGGGCGCAGCAGTGACTACTGCCTTGTGCTTCCTCACTCTTTGCTGCAGACAGTTCTTCTTGTTATGCTGCAGCAGCAGCAGCAGCTGCTGCTGCTGGCAGAGTTTTGCTGCTGCTGCAGTGATAACAGAGGATTCGGTTAAGCTGGAGATCTTAACAATGAATAGCGAAGGACCTAAAGGGGAGCAGCAGCAACTGCAGCAGCTGTAGCAGCAGCAGCTGCAGCAGCAGCAGCTGCAGCAGCAGCAGCTGCTGCTGCTGCTGCAGTATAGTATACAGACGCAGTAACGGTAGCAGGAAGAGTAGCAGCAGCTCAAAGTAAGTTGCTGACGCCACTTACATGCTGCTTGATTCCGTTCTTGCTGCTGCTGTTTGCTGCTGCTGCTGTTGTTGCTGCTGCTGCTGCTGCTTGCTGCTGCTGCTGCTGCTTGCTGCTGCTGCTGCTGCTGCTGCTGCTTGCTGTTGCTGCTGCTGCTGCTGCTTGCTGCTGCTGCAAGCTACCTGATGAGGCTTTGCTGCACAAACTCGGGTGTATGTACACCTCAGAAGTGAAGCAGCAGCAGACACAGCAGCAGATAAAAGGAACTCAAGAAGCTAAAGAGCTCTCTCCTTTGCGGTGTGGCCAGTGCCGCTCCGGCGCTGCTGCTGCTGCTGCTGCTGCTGCTGCTGCTGCTGCGAAGGGAGGGAGGAGGCCCCCGGCACATCCCCTTATGCTTCAATTGGGAGAAGCAAATGTGGTTTTATGTTGCTGCTGCTGCTGCAGCAACTGAAGCAAATTGAGAGACGTTTTCTTTTGCGAACTGCAAAGCAGTTGGCACTGCTGCTGCTGCTGCTGCTGCTGCTGCTGCTGCGCTGCTGCTGCTGCTGCTGCTGCTGCTGCTGCTGCTGCTGCTGCTGCTGTTGCTGCTGCTGCTGCTGCTGCTGCACAGCAGCAGCTGCTGCAGCAACAGGAAACGCACGTACCTTGCTTGCGCTTCTACCTTCTTTATTTTTATTGTTTATAAAAGCATTTGTTGTTTTAAAGGAATTCAATAAGACGGTTTCTTCTGACACTTGGTAGCAGCAGCAGCAGCAGCAGCAGCAGCAGCAGCAGCAGCAGCAGCAGCAGCAGCAGCAGCAACAGTAGCAGCAGCAACAGCATTGCAACTGCTGCAGCACGAGCTGCTGCTGCAAAGTTAGCGTCTTTCTTATTTAGTTTTTAATTCATTTTGCGTTTTAGTTGTTGATTTTATGCTCGTGCTGCAGCAGCAGCAGCAGCGTCGATGGCAGCAGCAGCAGCTGCTGCTGCTGCAGCTGCAGCAGCAGCAGCAGCAGCAGCATCGACGACAGAGCACTCACTATACTGTTCGTAAAACAGACTTTGCTGCTGTTGCTGCAGCATATTGAGGGTATTAGTTTGCTATTGTTATAGACACACTGCAGCGTCAGGAGGAGCAGCAGCAGCAGCAGTAACACAGCAGCAGCAGCAGCAGCAGCAACAGCAGCAGCAGCAGCAGCAGCAGTACCAGCGCCACTCACTGGCAGCAGCAACAGCAACAGCAACAGCAGCAGCAGCAGCAGCAACAGCAGCAGCACAGGGGGGCAATTCGGCTGCCCCCCTTAGAGTTATATTAAGAGACAAAAAAAGAATTTTATTTTCTTTTTGTTTTTCTTCTACTTTGAATGCAAGGTGTAGTCAGAAGCAGCAGCGGCAGCAGCAGCAGCAGCGGCAGCAGCAGCGGCAACAGCAGCAGCAGCAGCTGCTGCTGTTGCTGTTGCAGCTGCTGCTGCCCCTGTGCTGCGTGTAGCAGGGGCAGCAGCTACTGCAACACCATCCTAAGAGGCGCTGCTGCAGTTAACTGAGCTGCTGCGGTGTATAGGCATCTCGTTAAGCACTATTTGACAGACAATTGCTGCAAATGCAGCAGCAGCAGCAGCTGCTGCTGCTGCTGCAACTGCTGTTGCTGCTGCTGCTGCAACAGAGAAGCAGTTTAGTAGCAGCGCATTGTCTTTCCCATTGTAGAGGTTGCCTTTGTATTACAAAGAAATAATAAAATACACTTAGTTGCTGCTGCTGTCGCTGCTGTTGCTGCTGTTGTTGCTGCTGTTGCTGCTGCTGCTGCCACACCGGTGGCTGCAGCAGAGGGACCAGGAGTGCCGGTGTTGGCTGTTACATAGTCTAAACGCATGCAACAGAGGAACCTCACTAGCAGCGCAGCAGCTTGGTTGCTGCTTCTACTGCTGCTGTTGCTGCTATCGCTGCTGGTGCTGCTGTTCGTGTTGCTGCTGCTGCTGTTGCTCCTGTGGAGGCTCCCGAGGACACCCACAGAAAGTTGCAAAAATAACGATAGGCTGGGGGCTGTGCTGTAGCAGCTGCTGTGCTGCTGCTGTTGCTGTCGCTGTTGCGTTTCTGCTGCTGTGGTGGTGGCGGTGCTGCGTTGCTGCTGCTGCTCTGCTGGCCGTGCTGCGTTGCTGCTGCTGCTGTTCTGCTGCTGCTGCTGCCCTTTGATACATGGCGCTGATTTGCTGTGCATGCAGTTGAGTGTCGCGCCCCGATCCGCAACGCCTAGCTGCCGCTGCTGCTGCTAGCCACTGCTGCAGCAGCTAGGTGCAGCAGCTAGGTGCAGCAGCAGCTAAATGACTGGAACCCTAGCACTGGGACGGGAGAAGTGCAGCAGCAAATAGCAGCAAACAGCAGCAGATAGACGTTAGAAGCAGCAGCAGCAAGCAGGACCCACTAAAGCAGCAGCAAATGCAGCAGTAGATGCAGCAGCAGCAGCAATGCTAATGAGAAGCAGCAACGGCAGCTAAGGCGCAAATAGCTGTAGTGCTAGCAGCAGATGCAGCAGCACAGCAGCAGCAGATGCAGCAGCAGCGTTCTGCTGCATCTTGTAGTGCATGAAGGCACGAATAAAACATTAAAAAAACAAAAACCAAACTGGTGCTGCCGTTGCTGCTGCTGCTGCTGCTGCTGCTGCACTTGCTGCTGCTGCACTATCCCTGAGAAGGCAGCGCTTTCCTTTCATAGGCAGTAGGGAGTCGTTGCTAACAGCAGCAGCAGCAGCAAAAGCAGCAATAGAAGACACAGAATACTTTGTTGCTAGGGGAGCATATTTTGCCCCTGTGCAGCATTACCAGCCGAAGCAGCGATTGCAGCTATGCTGCTGCTGCTGCTGCTGCTGCTGCTGCTATTGCTGCTGTTGTTGCTGCTGCTGCTGTTTCATATGCTGGACACATCAGGGTTCAGCAGATGGTACAGTCTTCGTGTTACAATTATTCGTCCTTCTCCTGCTGCTGCTACTACTATTGCTGGTATTGTTACTACTCGTGCTGCTGTTGCTGTTTCTCGTGCTGCTGTAGCTGCAGCAGCATCTGCTGCTGCTTATTTTTTTTCTGCTGCTTCTGCTGCAGTGCAAATTTTTCAGCGAGAATTTTTGAATTTTCGAATCCATGAAATTCTGCGCTAAAGGATTTCGAATTGAGTGGAGAAGACAAACAAATCCAGCAGGAGGTAATACGGTCAAAATATACACCTATAAATACATAAGAATATATATATTTATATATAAATATATGCATATATTTACTAACCATTTCTTATTATTTTTATGTCATCTTATTCACCTTTATTATTTAATACTAATTGTCTAATTAGTTTTTGCTTATTTTCTGTTTTTATTAGCTAAATATACCCAACAACACCGTAATACGGTCAAAATATACACCTGTATATACATATATATGCATATATTTACTACTATTTATTAGCTATTTTTATCTATTTTTATCTATTATTGCTCTTTATTATTAATTAGCTATTTTTATCTGTATTATTTGTTGTTTTTATTAGCTAAATATGCCCAATAAGAGGTAATACGGTCAAAATATACACCTGTAAATATATAAGAAAAAATATATTTATAAATAAATATATGCATATAATTACTAACCTTTTTTTATTATTTTTAGCCAATTTTATTCATTTTTATTATTTAATATTAAGTGTCTAATTAGATTGTGTTTATTTTGCTTTTTTATTACCTAAATATACCCAACAACAGGTAATTAGGTACAAAAATACTTGTAAATATACAAAAAATATATATATTTATTTATAAATATATTTATATATTTACTAATGCTTTTTAATTATTTTTAGCTAATTTTATTCACTATTATTTTTACTCCTAATTGGTTATTTTTATTGTTTTTTTTTATTAGTACTATTTAGTAGTATTATTAGCTAAATATACCCTATAAGATGTTATATACGATCAATAAAATATTCAAATATATTTATATTATTATTATTTATTATTATTATTTATTAATTATTATTTATTTTTATTTACTATTATATTTTATTATTAATTGTCTAATTTTTTTGTTTATTTGGTGTTTTTTTAGCTAAATATACACAACAGGATACAGATATACAAATATACATATATTATTAAATAGATAAACATATACGTATATAAATATATATTATTATATAAATAAATATAAATAAATATAAATAAATATAATAATTATATTTGTTTATATTTCTTACCAGGAACAGAACTCGTGTGCTCTGGTGGGGTCATCTTGCCCTCGGCCTGTAGCAGCAGCAGCAGCAGCAACAGCAGCAGCAACAGCAGCAGCAAGAGTAGTAGCAGCAGCAGCAGCAAATAAAGGGAATTATTAGAGGGAGCAATGCATGCAGACGACAACAAAAGCAAAAAACAATAGAAGAAAAAGAGACAAAAAGGAGACAAAAGGAAAAAAAGAGACAAAAAAAGAGACAAAAAAGGAGACACACAAAAGGAGACACAAAGAAAAAAAAGCGACTAAAAAGGAGACAATAAAAAAAGACAACATAAAAAGGAGAGAATAAAAAGGAGACAAAAAAAAAAGGAGAGAATAAAAAGGAGACAAAAAAAAAAAGGAGAGTATAAGAACAAGA